GCCCATTATCTGCTTCCCTATAAAAGCTTGGCATGCCTAGTTCTCAGTAGCACAACTAATAACTGGGCCTTCATTAATATTAAACTAATAATAATAATAAATAAATAAAATTTTATTTATATCCTGCCCTTAACCAAGGCCATCCAGGCGGCTTACAATTTAAAATACAATCCCATATAAATAAAAATATAATAAACATATCAACCCCCCCTTAAAAATATATTAAATCAATAACACATTAAAATTGACTTAAAAACTATGTTTCATCATTCATTAAAGAAACATTTAAATACCATTGGCCAGGTGGCCTGGTGCATTCTGAGATATGGAGACCTAAAATAATCACAGAGGCCTGAAATTTAAATTCTATTTTTATAGTACATCTTGTAGTTTGAAGTAACAGAAAGGAGGAGGCAAAAAAATTATTACATCTTGATCAATTTGATGTTGAATATGCAATACATCTATGACGCATTCTCCATCCAATGGATCATCAACATCCAATGGATCAGTCATTTACCGTTGACTGTAGATTGTACCATAGAATGGAATTTACATCACCATATATTTCTACCTAATTTTGGATCTAAATGCTGTTGAAATCTCTTTCCCTTACAAATAATACTAAATAATGCCTGTGACTGGCTATTCATAAACTAGGGGAATCTATATTTGGACCCTAATATTAATCAATTCAAAGGGGAAAAAATGGCATATTCCATCACTGCTATAATGAAACACTCATTCCAGTCCACAGTCACTTGTTGAAATGTGATAGAAACTTATTTGTGTTTTAATAGTTTAATGGTTACAGGTATGATTGCTCAAAGTGAACCTGTATTTCTGCTGTTGACAGCGCTCATGCTCTAACAGCTGATGTCAGTATAGAAGAGACTGCTAAGGCTGCTGAATTCTTTCTGGCTGATGGGGTGATATTGACTGGAACAGCAACTGGAATAGAGACAGATCCTGAAGAACTGAAAGGTAAGAACTCTCATATTTTGTCAACAGAGCTTTCAAACTGCCAGAATCCCTCAATCAACATTGTTGTGCTGGCTCGGTGATTCTGAGAGTTGTGGTTCAAAAATTTAACTTTTGCTAGTTCTGTTTAAGAGATGTATGGCTTTGCTGTTGTGGCGATTGGTTAAATTTATTTTTTTAAATGCCCTTTCCACCACTGAGCAACAATTGTCATACATTACTTTTATCCCCCCAACTTCTGTCCTCACAAAAACCCTAAGAAAAGTTCTCTTGCACAGAGGTCACCTAGTAATTTTCATGGTTCAGTGAGAACTAGAACTTGTGACTTTCCAAGCTCCAACTGAATACTTAAATGCTGCACCTCATTGTTATAAGAAGGCATTATCTTGATGTCACAATCTGCAAACCAATGGGTTATTCCCTACATGCCAGATGTATACTGCCATGTTTTCTTTCCCATTCTTCTCATCAGTTATTCTCTTTTTAGTACTAAAATTCTTTTTCTCCCATTTTTAACCTATTAGCACTGCCTTCAATGAGTTAAGGGAAAGTGCATCCAGCTGGCAAGGCAGGAAATTGAAAACTGATGGGCAAGGAAAGAGAATAAATGGACATAACTGAAAAAGAATTTAGATTCCTGCCTATCCAGCTGGTGCATGGGGAATAACCCATTGCTTTGTGGATTGCTCCTCCTCTAATCCAAGAATGACTTATCATGGTAAGTACCAACGTTTCATTGTTTTGCTATATTATGCATACTTATCAACTGTGGAAAACTTAGTGATTCAAAGTCTATTAAGTGTCTCTTCATTTAAACCCACTGCATGTATGTGTTTGCTTATTATGTTAAAAGAAAATGATTGCAAAGCACAGCATGATTGGTGACTGTTTCAGCTTTTATGATTTACCTTGAACTCACTTAACCCAATATAAAAGGCAGATATGATCAGTAGTATGCTTACTGTAGCCTACAATAGCAAATATGACAGTTTTTGTCTGCTGTAGCTAGCTGTCGCAGCAGTGCAGATAACCATATAAGTGGATGTACATATTTCTCATTTCTCTTAATTAAAAAAAGATGGAATGGCTTCATTTCTGATAGTTGTAGCTCATGAATGATGACATTCTTCATAACCTTTTTTGAAAGGTTATTTCTAATGAAAGTAAATTAAAAGCATAACTCTTAAAATGGGAAGAAATAGGAGATTTAGCTTGGAAATTGACATTCGACTAAGAAGAACATCATCTGCAAGAATGGAGTGCAAATGATTACTGCAGGACACCAATGGGACTTAGATTTTGGTGAGTGATTACAAATGTATGAAGTTATTGTAAAGGATGTACATGTTATAGGACAGAGTTTTTGGATTAATAAATGCCTGATGTACTTTCTTGGAACAGACGTCATTAGGCTAATTTGATCTCTTATTACAAATCTGTGGATACGTGGACCATCAGGTTTAGCCACTTGAGATGAGCTGGG